AAGGAAGACCCCCCAACAAGATGGACTGACACAGTGGCAACAATAGGCTCAAGGTTAACATTTGTGAGGATGGCGCAGGACCAGGCAGTGTTTCATCCTGTTGTGCACAGGTTTACTATGAGTTGGAACCAACTTAACAATAGCCAACAACAATAACAACAGATAACTAAGACATTCACAATTCTCTACTTTATCATTAATCATTGCTTGCTGAGCACTGTGCTAGTTCATTTTAGGTGTCAACTCAGTTAGACCATGGTATCCACAGTTGTTTAGTCAAATACTTGCCCAGATGCCATTATGTGACATGCCATATAATCAGTTCACCTTAAATAAAGCAATATGGGTAAGGGTCATCCAAGCAGCTCATCAAAGAATGCCATAAAAATTCTCTAGAGTGTATTCTGCTTTAACACTATAAATAGACATTTTGCCAGAACACCTCCACTCTTCACTTTCTACCTGGAAACCCTCGACTGGGTCTCTGAGCTGCAACTGACTGGAAGGCACTAACAACAACAACAACAACAACAAATATATATGTTGTTGTTAAGTGCCGTCGAGTCGATTCCAACCCATAGTGACCCTGTATAGGGTTCCCAAGGAGCAGCTGCTGAGCTTGAACCATCAACCTTGCAGTTCAAATGACTTTGTAGTCTGATGCATTAGCTCACAGCTCTACACCAGGAATATATATATATATATATTTGCTTCTGTTCATCACAAAACACCACCGATCACCATTCTCCAATTCCTTCTACTCTCATCCAGCCTTCTGATCTTTTGCCCCCTAGCTCACTCACACTGTCCTCTGCACCAAGCATCAAACAGATGGTTGTAAAGCATCTGCCAGTGCCCAAGACCTTCCCCCTCCCTCTCTGAAGTCCTGGAGTGAGAGCACACACAAGTTTAGAGGTCCCTGGAATCAAGAAGGCAGATTAGGATTGAGGTTAGAAATCACATGTTTTTATCCTGCTTAGAAGTGGCTTCCAGAATTTACTTTGAAGTTTTCTGCATCACCAGTCCATATGAGACTACGTGGGTCAGGCAGCTGAGACTCATCCTTAAGATCTAAGTGCGCCCTTAAAACTCACTGCTGTTGAGTAGATTGGGACTCATGATGACCTGATAGGATAGAGTAAAACTGCTTCGTATGGTTTCTGAGACTTTAAATCTTTATGTAAGCAGACAGCCTCCTCTTTCTCCCTCAGAGTGGTTGATGGGTTCCAGCTGCTGAACTTTTGGTTAGCAATCCAACACTTAACCCACGCTGCCACCAAATACTTCATTGTTGTTGTTGTTGTTATGTGCCGTCAAGTTAGTTCCAACTCATGAAGAGTAGCTTGTGGGTTTGAACTGCTGACCTTGTGGTTCACAATCCAGTATTGTGAACCTACAGCATCATATCAGGAGTCCCAAATACTTCCTTGGTACAAGGTTGAGTAAAAAATTATCTGCACTCTGGCTGTAGAGTTCATTTTAATCAACTTTTAGAAAAGACAAATACATCATTTTTCAACATAATCTCCTTGCTTTTCAATACACTTTGTCCTCCTGTCAACAAGCTTTTGTATTCCCTTATTAAAGAATGTCACACTGAGCTCCGAGCCACAAAGGCACTGCTGTCTTCACATCTTCATCAGACTTGAATCTTCTTATTTGAAGAGCTGCTTTCAATGTTGATTGTTAAAACTTTTTTCCTGATAGTGTTTCAATAGTGCCCCTTGAGAATCCCAGAAAATTGTAAACATCAATTTTCTAGCTGATGGTTAACTTTTGAACTTTTTTTTGGTCAGTGATTGAGGATGTTTCCATCCCTTACTCTGTCATTTGCTCTCAGGCTCGTAGTGATGAATGCATGTCTCATCACCAGTAACAATTTTTTAAAGAATTTTTACCTTCCCTCGAGTATGGGTCCAAATTTTATTTGCAAATGTCCAAATGCTTCAGTTTCTGCTCTTCCATGAGTTGGTTCAGTACCCATCTCACACAAACTTTTCAAAACCCAAGTGTGTTGTGGATTATTTCATAGGCAGAGCCATGGCTGATTTGCAAATGATTTGCCACATAATCCACTGTCACTCCTCTATTCGACAGAATCATTTCATGTGCACGCTCAATATTATCATCAACTGTGGACATGGCGGGTGTTTTCATGTAACTGGAGTGCAGATAATTTTTTTACTCATAGTTCTTTAATAAATATCCTGCTTCACTTTGGAAATGATTATTAACCAAACATTAAATGTGTGTCAGAAGGTATAATATATAATATAATAAATACACAGAACAGACTGGCAAGATATTTAGTGTGTATGGACTTTATCCTTAATGTGTACCTTCCTCATTCCAGCTGCTTAGGTAACCTGAGCCACACAACTCTGCCCTACTTCCTGGTACATACTATATACACACTTATAAAAATAAGCAATGACACTCTCGGTTAGAAGTCCTGTTTAGTAGAGTGCAGACCCTTTTTCCTCACGTAATATAAGTCATAAATTGGCATTGTGTTGTTGTTGTTGTTATGCCATTGAGTCAGTTCTGATTCATAGTGACCCTGCGTAGGATTTCCAAGGAGTGGCTAGTAGATTGGACTGTCAGCCTTCCAGGTAGTAGTCTAGTGCTTATCCTACAGTGACACACCAGGACCCCAATAAACTGTTATTGTAGGTAAGATAATATATGAATTGAGCAAATTTGACTCCTGGGGGAGGGGGGGCTGTCCTCTATTTAACCAGGCATCATTTGGGACGTTAAATATTCCTACTGGGTAGGTGTTTTAAAACTTAGAATAAACTATTTAATCTGAAGCTTATAATTCTGGGGGATTAAAAAAAAAATCATACTTGCCATATGGAATTCATAAGAAAACACACCAATTAAAATATCAGGAAGAAATCAGAACCATGGTTTCAAAGCAGGCATGTTACCTTTGGAACATTCGTTTTTAACAAATGTATATACCCCATTTCCTCCAGTTGTGCTCACACTAGACTTCTAACCACAAACTCAACAGTTCAAACTCACCAGCCACCCTGGGAAACCCTATAAAGGATCGCTATGAGTTTGACTAAAGGGCACTAACAAGAAGCATTCATTTGAATTGAAGCCGTGGGCTGTAACAACAGATTATGCAGAATCTCTGATCTCTGAAAGACCACAATGTCCAGTTAAGAGAACGAATTCTGGACTGTTACAAGTCTCTCTTTCTCTCACACGCTTTCTCTCTCTCTCTCTCTCTCTCTCTCTCTCTCTCTCTCTCTCTCACACACACACACACACACACACACACACACACTCCTGTGACTCTTACTTTGCTGACAGGCAGAGAGAACAGACACAGCAGCCAGCAGGATTGAGTCCCCAGCCATCTTTCACAGCGAAGTTCTGGTTTGCTCAACGATTTGTAGAAAGAAGAACAGTAAGAGAGGCTCACTTCTGCTGACCTTCCTTCCTTATTAGGTAAACAAAGATGGGGACAATGAAGTAAAAAAAAAAAAAAATCCAGGATTTTGCAGCCAAGTGACCTTTGTTCAGGAACAAGAATCAAGAAATCAAGATCGGTAGGTTTGCAGTTGCCAATCACAAGTCTTTATCCTGCTTTTGAAAGGCTTCCAAAGTTTACTTTTTAAAATCTCCCTCATCACCAGCCCTGCACCTACAGTTAGAATTTTCCAGCAAATTTGTAATTTCTCTTCCAATCCTTTCTGGACACCTCTATTGCTTCCCCACAAACTTTGCCATAATCTTTCTTCCTCCCCATGGGAGAAGGAAGCACATGTATACTTAATCCTTTTTGTGGTTGTCGTTGCTAAGTGCTGTCGAGTCAGTTCCAACTCAGAGACCCTGTATAACATTTCCGAGGCTTTAGCTCTTCACCAGAGAAGAAAGCCTTATCTTTTTCCTACCAAGCAACTGGCGGGCTCAAACCTTATGGTTCGAAGTCCAGTGCTTATCATTTGTTGTTGTTGTTATGTGCCGTGGAGTCAGTTCCGACTCATAGCGACCCAGTACAGGGTTTCCGAGGCTGTAAATCTTTACGGGAGCAGAAAGCCTCATCTTTCTCCCGAGGAACAGCTCGTAGCTTCGAACTGCTGAACCTGAAGTTCGCAGCCTGATTCGAAACCACTATGCTACCAGAGCTCCTCGTGCTTATCATATGGAGCCATAAATACTAATTTATACTGAGTCTAATTTAATTATTTTGGTAAATGGCAGATTTTTTATTTCCACATTGTGACTTATCCCCTGTACCAGTGCTGCCTCCCATGATCACATTATCATATTTTGAAAAAAAAGGAACTAGAAGACACGTCTAAGAACGAAGAAGAGCCTTGAGGGATTGATGCTTTAAATTAAACCTCTAGTAAAATGCACAGAGCTCCTAAATTTTGCAAATGGTTAATACACTCAGCCTGTAACTGAAAAGTTGGAGGTTTAAGTCCATCCAGAGGTTCCTCAGAAGAAAGTCCTGGCAACCAACTTCCAAAATATCAGTCATTGAGCACAGTTCTACTCTGACATGGATGGGATCACTATGAGTCAAAGTCAACTAAACAGCAAGGGGTTTGATAGGACACATGGTGCCGGTCATCACTAGGCTGTTCACCACTTCTCCACTGTCAGAACAATGCCTGTCCACCCCTCCCAGGTGGGGTATGCTTTCTGGAGAGTTCATTAATCACAGCACCGCTTGCTTCCCTCTGTCAACACAGTTTGCTCTTTAAAGGTTCAAGTTCTCAAAACACAAAGTTGGGACTCCTTTCTCCTATGCCTCCTGTCTTATCTTCCTGCTCCCATCCCAGGCTCACAGGGAGGTCCTAGTGCTGCCAGGAAGACCAGTGTGCCTCAGCTTCCTACTGGCTCCCGGCCTGATGCTTAATAATTAACACAAGCTTCAACAAGAGTTGGAATCTCTCTGAGCCCCAGCTTTACCAATTGGCACTAGTAAGTCATTCAGGGCTGATGGACAGTTTAAATGAAATAGGACTTTTACAAGAACTGAGTTCTAGTTAATATTTATAAAGCTCTTAAAACAACACCTAGCATATAGTAAGTGTTCTGTGTGTTTGTTAAATAAATACATATAAAGGTACTGCCTTAGCTACCTAGTGCTACCAAACAAAAACAAAAAAACCACAATGGTTTTAAAGAACAGAAACGTATTTCTCAAAGTTGTGAAGGCTAAAAGTCCAAATTAGAGTCTCAGTCGTACCTATTTCTTCTGTGAACCTCTCTCCTGGCTTCTAAAGAATGCTACCAAGACAAGATGAAAATTATTCAGTGGAGACTCTTTCTTCCCCCCCACACTCTTAAACTAAACTCCCTCTTGAAACCTTGTAAGCCAATCACTTCATGCCTTTATTGCCCTCTCATTTTAGGTAGCCAATGTCTAAGTTGCCCATCCCTATTTACCCTGTATACAAAGGGGATAGCATTGATACTTGATGTGAAGACTCCGTCCCTCTCTGTTGGTATTTTAAGCTACTACCTCCATGAATATAGGTCAAGTTCATCAAATTGTAGCAGTTTACCCTCATTTCCTTTATCAAAATTTGTTTTCTTTTTATCTTCCTCTAGTTAAGTTCTAAGCATAGTGGTTATGAATCGGGTTGTGAACCTCAGGGTCAGCAGTTCGAAACTACCAGCTGTTCCAGGGGAGAAAGATGAGGCTTTCTGCTCCTGTAAAGGTTTATATCCTCCGAAACCCTGAACAGGGTTGCTATGAATTGGAATCCACGACACATAACAACAACAGTTAAGTTCTGATTATCAAGCCATCAAGGCTAGGTCAAATGGGTACTATCTGCAAGTTTGGGTGTTCTTGCGAAGCCATGATATTTTCAATCACTTCATATACATGTGAAAATTTGAGGAAGATCAGAGTAAAATTGATGCATTTGAATTATGGTGTTGGAGAAGAATGTTTAAAGTACCAGGGATTGCCAGAAGAACAGAGACCAAGGTCATGGAAGAAGTACAGCCAGAATGCTCCTTAAAAGAAAGAATGATGAAACTTTGTCTCTCATACCTTGGACATGTTGTTAGGAGGCACCAGTTCCTGGAAAAAGTACATCATACTTGGAAAAGTGGAGGTTCAGTAAGAAAGAGGAAGACCACCAACAAGATAAATTGCAACAGCAGCAGGAACAATGGGCTCAAACAGAACAGTAATTTTGAGGATGGTGCAGGACCAGCCAGTTTCGCTGTTCATAGGGTCACTATGAATTGGAACCGACTCAATGACACCTAACAACAACAAGAAAACAGATCCTAGAAATCCAAGACAGCACTCGAAACCTCCTTGTGTGTTTCATTGAATGCTGTTGACCTTCAGTACATGGTAGAAATTCTGAACTGCAAACCAGCTGCCCGAACCCCTGACAGGTCACAAAGGAGAGAGTTTTCAAAGTAAGAAAGTTGTTCATAAAAAGAGAAATAGCCGGAGGAGGAGATGAGCAGGGAAATAGGACCCCCTGTGGGTGGCCACAACCTTTGGGAGTTTTGTAACTCCTGTTTTGAGAAACTATTGGGGTGCTTCCATACTAGTGAACTCGTTTAAACACAAACAAAAACAATTCCAGAATAAATCTTCTTTGGTTTCCAACAGTAGTCCCTGAAACCGTGCTACTGTTGTTCTAAAGAATTAGGAAGGCTAACACATTTTTCTTGTGCAAAAGAAGTTAGAGATACAAGAGGCTTAGGGAAATGAAAGATAGGTTTATTAGCATAGACGTCCTTACAGAGAGGTAAGGACAGGCATCCACCTTGCTAAAGAGGAGGTGAAGCCTCAAGACAATTTGACTTCTTCTTTACATATCTCTTTGTCAGCGGAGTGCCCAAGAAGCCAATCTGGAGAACTGGTCCATATAGGGTTTCCTTGAGTCTTGTTTTTCAGGTTTCAGCTTATTATGAACTAAACTGCATTTCTTCTGAAAACAATCTCCTCTCTCCCCCACCAGTCTTTTCAGAATTCCTCACTGCTGAGGTTGGCTTGTTTCCTGCTGAGACAGGTCATACCGAGATTGACTTGAGATCCCTTTCTAACCTTGCTCTAACTATGTAACATTCCTATTTTAGTAGCAAATTCTGAGATTCCCTATTGCCTTTTCCAGCCAATCCCAGTCAGTCCAGATAGAGGCTCTGAGAGAAAAGGATGGTGATGATACAAAGAAGAAAAAGCTTTAACTGCTTTGAAACCCCATGCATCCATGTGTTATCTACTTTACAAGATTTTGATTGTCTTTACAGGGAGTTTCTGCCTCTAGGAAGGTATAAAACAATGGAGCATTGGGTAATTAAATTTTTATCACCTTCTGGGGTGGTAAGGGTTCCAGATGATCTCATGGTTGAAATTCTATAATAGCATTAACGAAAGAAAGAAAGAAAGACATAAAGAAAAGTTAGAGTTTCTCTGTACATTTCCTCTGGAGTTGTTGATGGTGAAAAGCATTTTCCCTAAGTGTACTGCACATAGATCCTTCTAGAACATGTTTAATTCCTTATATGTTTATAGGAAATCTTTTATTGATAACTCTAATGAAGTGTTTGGAAGAATTTATGCTACTTCTATACACTCAAAGTAAGTCTATATGGATTTCTAAAAACCTAACAAATTATTTAAACATTCTTTATTAGCAACATCATACTCTAGATAAGGCAAAACAAAGGAGTCAAGGTTTGTCAAGACACAAACACTGACCAAGTGAAAGAACTGTTACCCTGAAAGGCAAACCCCAAATGCACCTATCTCTGTGTAATTTTGGTAATAAATAAAACAAATTAAATATTTAGCTGTAGAATGTTATCTATCAGATCAGTTATCTCCCCTAACATTATTCCTTGGTCCTACCATGTCTATTCTATCTCTACCTGTTACAATCAAGACCATTCCAACTCAAGGCAACCCCATAGGTACAGTAGAACTATACTCCATACAGTCTTCAATGGCCATAATCTTACAGAAGTAGATCATTAGACCTTTCTTTTGCAGCACCACTCGATGGATTAAAACAGCCAACCTTTCAGTTAGTAACCAAGCTCAAACCATTGGTGCCACCAAGAACCTGTTCAATCCCTACCCCTCTAAAAACTACAGCTCGTCCTCACCCTGGTCTCTGTTGGGCACTCAGCAGGCTGACCTGCTGACAGCTGGCCAGGCAGCAGAGAAAGAGATAGAAAATATGCCTTCCCCAGGGTGCCCAGTAATTATTAGGGTGATCACAATATCGGAAACCCATAATAATCTCAATTGAAAAATAGATGGTGTAAGGTTTAGATATTCCTAGAGTTTGTCACATTGTCTTGATAGAAATCCTGATCAATTGAAAAATCCTGTAATATCATAACTTTTTAAACAAGGTTCACATAA